GAGCAGTACTAATGCAATTTTCTAAGCACACTTTCAGCCTGTTAGCCAGAATCTTGGAAATAATTTTGTAAACCACTGCACAGAGGCTAATTGGCCTATATTGAGTAATGGAGTTGGGATTCTCACATTTTGGAATGAGTGTCAAGAGGGTGTGGTTCCAGTATTTAAGGAAATTACCAGAAGAAAAGAAACTGAGAATGGCTGCACACATGTCAGCCTTGATGACTGGCCAAAAATGTTGGTAAAAAAGAGCTGTCATACCTTTTTCTCCAGGTGCCTTCAAAGGATTTAACTGAAACAAAGTATTTTTGATTTCTTTCTCCTCAACTTCTGCAGTAAGAGCAGTATTCATGTCTGTGGTGATAGTAGTAGGGATAAGCTGTAAGATATTCTGACCTCCATTTGATCCTTCAGAAGAGAATAATTTTTTATAGAACTCAGAGATGTGCTGCTCCAGATCTTCATTGGATTCCAGCCTTCTATTTCTGTCATCCATCAGTTTAGTAATGGCATTTCTTTTTCTCCTCTGGGTTGTAACCGCATGGAAGTATCTCGTATTTTGTTCACCCTCCTTGAGCCACATATTCCTGGATTTCTGCTGCCAGTAAGCTTCTTCAGAGCAATGAGCTTGATCCAGCTCCATTTTCAGAGCCTTCCATTCTTCCCAATTTTTACCATCCCCTAAGAGCCTCATTTCTTCCAGTTTCAGAGTCAGAGTAGTGATTTTTCTTTTGATTTCTTGTCCAACCCCTCTGCTCCATTCAGATAAAGCCAGTCTGGTTACTTTCACTTGTTCTTTCAATCTGAAGAAAGGTGTACCTAATTGAGGTTGCGCCCAGGCTTTGCTGACCACTTCCCACACTCCATTGCTTTTAACCCATCTCTTATCAAAGCTGAATCTCTTTTTACATTTGATTTTACTGGCCTCAGCTTGTAATAGAAGCATCCCATGATCTGAGGCACTTTTATACTGATTTGTGATCTGAGAGAGTGGGTATTTCATCATCCACCCCAATGAGCCAAAAGCATTGTCCAGTTTCTCCTCCACTATCCCTTCATTGTCCCTATTGTTGCACCAGGTGAATCTGTATCCCACCATACAAATCTCATTCATGCTCATTTCTGCTATGAAGTTTTGGAAAGGCTGCAGACTTCTCCAAGACCTTGGCCTCCCTCCTGCCTTGTTCTCCTGCAAGTGGAGATCATTCCAATCTCCAATTATACACCAGTTCTCCTCCCAATCAGGTTTGTCAGCTATGAGGCTCAGCCATTGGTTCATTCTGGTTTGCAGGTCGGTGCTTAGATACACAAACACCAACCAACATGGATCTTCCTCACGAGGAAGTTTGTATTGGATCTGGATATTGAAATTTGAAGTTTTCACCTGCAGAATGATCACCTGCATATCCCAGCAAAGTAATAATCCCCCTCTGCTCCCTTCTGGTTCCACAAAACAAAATCTACTATCAAAACCCAACTTATTACAAACATTCAAAGTAAAATTTTTGTTTTTTTTTTATTTTTGATAAAAATAAAAAAGAGGGGTGGTGAGTCTTCAGAGCCTCTCGAATTTGGGGAACTGTAGAGGGTCCACCCAAACCTTTACAGTTCCACACCAGAGCTAACATTGATCACCCTGGTGCCAATTTGGGCTGGCATCCTCAACCTCTTGGACTGATAGTTTGAGCTTTTTCTGTTCTGTAATTTCTTCTTGATTCTGAGAGCTTTCCATGATTTGGGGAAGCTGAGTGTCTCTGATTCTTTTCCCTCCTATGACAAGAGCTAAGCTTTTTGAAGGTTGCTCTTGTCTTGTCAGTCTGCCCTTAAAGAGAGAATTTCGTTTCCACAGCTTGCCTGAAGATAGAGTATGATGATTCCTCTTTATATCCATGGTCGCCTTAGCAGACACCTGTATCTCCATGTTGTTCTCGTCCTCCTTATCCTCAGGAATTAAGTCTAAACTCCAATCACTCCCAGATGGAAATTGTTGCATCTCCCCTTCGGTCTGCTTATTATTTGGGTTTTCATCCTCTGCATAGGAAGCAGATGATTCTACTACACAGATGCTCCTCTCTTTATTGCCTTCTGAGTGGCCCTTTAATTCTTGCCTATCATTCTCATTGGTCTCAGAATTCTCATGGGGTTGGACTGTTTCTCTCTGGTCAAAGGAGGAGGATGGAACATTCTGTCTGCTTGAGGAGGGCTCGCTGAACTTACTAGCTGGTGGAGACTCTGATATAACCACCCCTTCTGCAGCCTTTAACCATTCTCCATATTGGCCTTCATTAACACTCTTCTTCATTATGTCTTCTTTTCTTTTGGGGCAGTTTTTATCAACATGGCCAAGTTTGCCACAGTAGTAGCATAGGCTAACAATCCTTTCATATTTGAATTGAATTGTGACCACCTGATCCCCTAGCCTGATAGTAGTCCATCTCGGCAATGGTTCTCGTATATCCAGGATAGCTTGCAGACGGATAATCCTTCCTTCTTGATTGTCTGCTCTTGCCAGGATAACATTTTTCACACCTTTAAAAGCTCTCTCCAGCTTCATCCCCACTTCCGTACATTGCCAGTTAATTGGAACCCCATGAGCTTGAACCCATATCGACAGCTCATTAAAGGTAGGATGGTTCTCAGATAGGCCTGTAGTCCATTCTCTAAGAATGAGATATTGGCTTTCAAAAATCCAACTTCGATCCAAGTCCACTCGACGTAAAGCATCAACATTTGGGAACAGGGATTGGAAATAATTACAGTTGAGCTCCCGCACTTCAAGAGAATTTCCCAATCTCCATAGCATTCCCATCGTTCTCTTGATTCCCAGCCAGTTAGCCTTCTTCTCCCCCACTATCTTACCAAACAAACTTCTTCGACATTCCTCGACACTGATCTTAGCATCTTTTTCTTCTATGTCAATAATCAGCTTTTCCGCCTCTGCAATAGAAACTTTCCCCAAACGTAACCCTAATTCCTCCGCCATACTACAAGAGCCCCAATCCACCTCACCAACAAGCCCAAGAAGATGACTGAAACTCCCAATACCCGCCCTACCTTCGCCCTACGAAGAAAATCCTCCACACTGAGAAGAGAACTCCCAGAACGAGAGAAGGAAAACTCCCAGAACGAGAGAATGGGTCATATTAACTTGGATGTAAACAAAACAGTCAATTATTTAGAGTTTAATAAATTACTCAACTACTTAATTTTTTTTTATCTGAATAGTTTATACAAAAAGAAAATATTTCAAGTAATGAAACAATATAAATTTTATATTTATATTTATTATTCACATAAGTTGTTAAGTATATGATAACATTATATTCAAATCGAATTTATGAATAAAAATCTTGAAATGATACTTATTATGAAACGAATATAATGTAATTTAATATCAGTTATTTGCACCACACGGGTTGTGTACTGATTTTAAATAGACATTTTTATGTAATTTTGTACAATTTAAACATTATGGATAATGTTCTCATACACACGTTAATATGTCCACCGCTTATGTGACATTCACTCATGGGTGATGTTAATATGTTCAAATAAATACACCACCAATTAGTGAATGCCACATAAGCGGTAGACATATGAACATGTGTCCACCGTGAGTAGGTGAGCATTGCTGTAAACATTATATAACATTTTCAATAAATTTGTATAAGTAATCGTATTACATATTGATTCAATATTTATAATTTATAAATATTACTTAATAAGAATTTTTAATTTATAAATATGAAGGAATACCTCTTAACCGTGCACTGCATTGGACTGATACTCGTTAAATATATACAGTAGTGGATTACTCCAATAATTGACTGTGAGTAGACGAAGAAAAAGACTGATTCTTAAAACGAAATTCCATGTACCTTTTTGAAAAATAATGGACACAAATGAAATGAAATGTCAGCTAAAATAAAATGATGAATTATTTCTTCACACCGCGTGTTGAAGTTGAACGCGTAAAACGACCAAGAAAAGTAGCACGAGTCGGGCCCCACTTAATAAAAGAATCTTCAAAGCATTTGCTTGCGCTCTATTTTAAAATCTACTACACTTGCCCTGGTGGCTTCACCCAGATTCACAGCTCCATTTTATCAACAATCGCCATTCATACATACATACATACATACATACATACATACTTTCTCATTATTACAGTTAGTTACCCAAATCACTTAATATTATTATTCTATATAGAAAGCCATCAGTGTAATTTAAGTGTTTTATCTTTCTAAAAACACATCATCCTGGGTTTGGTTATTATTATTATTATTATATTATTTTTCTTGTGTTGAGAATGAAATAATTTAGGCAGCTTCGTGGTGGGTGGGTGGGTACTTCTTCGTATCACGTTGATTGATTGATGTTGGCCGTTTGTACTTTATAAGTTCCTTCTTCTTTGTTGGTTTTGGTTGCTATTATAAACTTGAAAAGGCAAAGACTGATTCAAACAGAAATTAGGGAGGAAAAAAATGGAGAGATTGTTGAGTGATAAATGGGAGGTGAAATCGAAACATTCGTCCAAGGAGGCCCTTCAACGGTGGAGGGATCTTTGTGGATTTGTCAAGAATTCAAATCGACGCTTCAGATTTACTGCCAATTTGTCCAAGCGCTATGAGGCTGATGCCATGCGCAAAACCAATCAGGTTTACTTCTTTTTTTGCCTAACTTTTAGGGTTTAGGACTCTTATTGTTATGAATTATTATGTGATGAGATTTTATCTTGCCTTGCCCTTGCCCTTGCCCTTGCCCTTGTGTGTTAGTTATTAATTAATGGTTTGTCCAAACCAAATTATGATGATGATATTTCATTTTAGTATTATATCATTAGAGACTCAGAAAATGCATTTTTGGCTGTCCTGCTTGTTATTTTAGATTGATTGATAAGTTGCCCTCCCTGGTTAAA